AATTTAATTTTTGCGTGATATCTGGAAGGGAGATCGTCACATAATTTAGCCAATGAAATCAAATGTCCACTATGCTGGTCCATATTATTTGGGATTTGTACATTTGGGATGTACAAAGTAATTTGGGATTTGGGATTCTTGATTTTTTAATTTGGGCAGCACCTATAGTTTTGTTGTAGAAAGGCCTTTTATAGATGGGGAGTAAAACGTAGTCATTTTTTTGGGAATAATATATTTTTTAGTGGTACGCATATATAAAGAATAAAATTAATTCTTTAAAAATTTATGATAAGTTTTTTGAATTGTTGAAATACTACATAATAATAATAAAAAGTGAGATTGTGTGTGACATGGCATAATGTCATGTGACCAATGTCTTTAAATTTTATGTGCTCAAGTAACAATCAACCTGTATTATTACTATTAGAAATTCAGTCATCATCATCATTTTATCTTCTTCCATCATTTTATTTCTCCATTTTATAATTACCATAAATATTAACTTGTGCATTTTGTGGAAATTCCTTGCTTGATCTTGTATAATCAAATGTGGTTTTGTATTTTTGCAGGCTCATCTCACATTCACATATGCTACAATATTTATCCAACCAATTCTTCATAACAGCATTCAAGAGAATATCTATCATCCATTAGCAAGCAAGCTAGTCCTTCTCGATTCTTGAATACCATTTTAGCTTGCCAATAAACTCAAACAGAAGAGTTGAGTGTTCTTTAGTTCAGGATTGATCCCCAAAAGAAGTTAATTTGTTTCTTAAGAAGAGATTTGCTAATTGGGAAATGCTAAAAGAGTTTTTGATTTGAGAAGTATAAAGTGACAAGGGATACATTGTTAGGATTGAAAGCTAAAGATCTGCACAAAGTAGGGTTACCATTTCTGGTTGCAGAACACCATTAAACGGTTAAAAAAAACCATTTACATCCGATTCTATGATGGTGAGGGTGAACCATTGGAAAAGTTTGAAGAATATGCGATGCATAACGAGGATGACCTTTGTAATTTTTTGAAAAGTGTTGACGGGAAGGAGTATAGGGACATTCAGTATGGTATAACTCTTGCAAAACATATGGTATGGTATTGTATAAGTGTAATAAAATGGTTGTATACCAATGCTTAAATCTAACATACTTCCCTTCACACCCACCAAAAAAGGATTTAGAATAAAATTTTGTGTGACTTGGTATGGAAAAATATGGGCTATACCATACCATACCATACGTTCTGCAAGAGTTATACCATACTGAATCTCTCCCTACCGACGGGAAGGGATTAGAATTTATTAATCATAACAATGAAATCCCAAAGGTCATCATTTCTCTAAAATACATCCAATATAATCAATATTACCGAACCAATGCTTCTCACCTCAAAAAGGAAGTTACCTGGTCGAAAGTCAAAGATCAAGCAATGGAAGAAGGAACTTTATTGGCCATACAGAATGCTCTCAACGAAAAGATCAAGGCGTCTATAAAAATTTATTCTAATCGAGTAATGAATAATCAGGAAGATAAACCACTGATGGAGGGGGTGGAATTTTAATTTATGGTTGTAAGGTATTTTTATGTGAAGCAAAATATAACATGACGTTTGTAAATATAAAGGAATTCCATTTGATAATTATCTCCTGTGGATTTGTTAGACAAGTTCACTAATAAATCTGGCATTTTCAAAACATCTAGTTAATTTCATCGATCGATTAAAGGAACTCCCAAAGAAACAGCAGGCCATGAATTCAAACAATTGTTGGGAAAGCAACATATTGGGTTGTTTGTGGGGATAAATTAGGATTGATAGTAGTATTTCCAGGTGGTGATTGTTATAAAGTATAAATACCCGAAAATTTGCATATTGGATCTTAGATCTGTACGATCTGATTAACTGGATATTATAAATTGGAAAATATTGCTAAATAAATATTATTATGCTATTATGAAAAAATAAAGAAAAAATCTTTTGTTTTATCCTGAAGACTGCTCCCATATTTGTATGCGAGACGAGATATAATGTGTATACTGGTTCAAAATAACAAAAAACAAAATTTTATGAAGAATTAATTTATTAACTCTAAGGTTCTCTTAATACTTGAGTAGTAGTAGTAAACTCTAGATTCCTTTTTTTCAACGGAACAAATAATCTAACACTAATCGAATTTAATCAATTTTACGATTTACGAAAGAGATATAAAAACAAATGTTTATAATGAAGATATTGTTTTAAAAATTATCGTCAGGAGGTAAACCGTGTCAACAACATAATTATCTGAAATTAAAAAAGTTTATTAATTATTGATTAAAGATTACCATAATTTAGAAATTAATGCCTGGATATTTATATTTCACAAAAAATTTCTATATAAAAAGAAATTCTAACTCGTAAGTTTTAAGCTAAGGTCATTTAGCTATCAAAATTACGAATACTTTTCAACATCTTTTAATATTATAATTTAAAATTTTAGTATTGATTTAAAAATTTTTTCTTGACTTTTAATTTTTACAATTTTTGGAATGAGAATAAGAACATTGTCTAACTTCATGAAAGAATATATATGCATAATTAATGGATATTTAAGTTATTTCTGACAAAAAAATGAATAAAAATGTTTGTTCCATTTTTTTATAATTCTCCGTGTGTTGGCAATTCATCATCCTCGTCAGTTGTTGATTTTTCATCTGATGGATCTGACGAATATAATTTACTTGTAATTGGATTTACAATAGCTTCTATTTCTTCTATTTTTTCTTCGAAATCTTCTTTAGTGGCTGAACTTGAAAATTCATCAAACCAATCAATAGTTTTCTTAATCGCATCTTTGATTGTTTTCTTATCTTCTTCACTGATTTTCTTTCCGAGTTCACCATTATCATCTAATTGACTTTTAGTTGTATAAACATAATTTTCAAGTTTATTTCTTAATTCAATTCTTTCTTTTTGTATTTGATCTTCTTCAGCAAATTGTTCAGCTTCTTCGACCATTCTTTCGATATCTTCTTTTGAAAGACGTCCTTTATCATTTGTAATTGTAATAGATTCTGATTTTCCTGTACCTTTGTCGGCCGCAGAAACTTTCATGATACCATTGGCATCAATTTCGAAAGTGACTTCAATTTGAGGTACACCACGTGGTGCTGGCGGAATTCCTGTTAATTCAAATTTGCCAAGCAAGTTATTATCCTTGGTCAATGAACGTTCACCTTCAAACACTTGAATCAATACAACTGGTTGATTATCAACTGCAGTTGAGAAGATTTGTGATTTTTTGGTTGGAATGACAGTATTACGAGGAATCAATTTTGTCATAACTCCACCAGTTGTTTCAATCCCAAGAGTCAATGGGCAAACATCTACTAACAAGAGATCTTCAACATTTTCAGCACCAGAAAGAATACCGCCTTGGACAGCTGCACCATAAGCAACAGCTTCATCAGGATTGATATTTTTTGAGGCCTTTTTACCATCAAAGAATTCCTCAAGGAGTTGTTGAACTTTTGGAATACGTGTGGAACCCCCAACCAAAACTATATCATGAACAGCTGACTTTTCAATTTTTGCATCTTTCATTACTTGTTCAACAGGCTTTATTGTTTTACGGAAAAGATCATTATTCAATTCTTCAAATTTCGCACGGGTCAATGTTTCAGAGAAATCCTTGCCATCGAAGAAAGATTCGATCTCAATACGAGTTGACATTTGAGATGATAATGTACGTTTGGCTTTTTCAACTTCACGCTTTAATTTACCCATTGCTTTCAAATCTTTTGTGACATCAACCTTATGTTTCTTTTTATATAATTTGGCAAAATAATCAATAACCCTATTATCAAAATCTTCACCACCCAAATGAGTATCGCCAGCAGTAGCCAACACTTCAAATACACCATCATCAATTGACAATAATGAGACATCAAAAGTGCCACCACCAAGATCGTAAACAAGAATTTGACGTTCACCTTTTGATCTATCAAGTCCATACGCTATTGCAGCAGCTGTTGGTTCATTTACAATACGCATAACATTAAGTCCAGCTATAACGCCAGCATCTTTTGTTGCCTGACGTTGAGCATCATTGAAATAAGCTGGAACTGTGACAACGGCATGAGTGACTTTTTTACCCAAAAACGATTCAGCAATTTCTTTCATTTTAACTAATATCATAGCCGAAATTTCTTCAGGTGTAAAAAGTTTTTCTTCGCCTTTAACTTTAACAGAAATAGCAGGTTTATCGTCATTATCTACGACTTTGAATGGGAAATGTTTGAGATCATTCTGAACATCTTTATCAGAAAATCTTCTTCCTATTAAACGTTTTACATCAAATATGGTGTTTTGAGGATTATTTGCAGCTTGATTTTTAGCTGCATCACCAACTAAACGTTCGTCGTCAGTAAAGGCTACATAAGAAGGTGTAATACGATTTCCTTGGTCATTGGCCAATATTTCAACTCTTCCGTTTAAGTGAACACCAACGCAAGAATATGTTGTTCCCAAATCAATTCCAATAACTAATGATTTAAATTTGAAAAAAAAAATAATATATATAAATAATTCAACACGAAAAAATACACTTTATTTAATTATTTTTAAAAAAAAAAAACGATAAATACCTGTACCAACGTCTGTTGTTGCTTCTTCGGCCGGTACTAATAATATAGGTATTATGACTAGTAATGAGCACAACAATGATACTATTTTGAAGAAACTAGATTTCTTCATATTTATAAATATTAATTTTCTATCAACGTTTTATTTTTTGATAGTTTTTTTAGTTTGAAAAAAAAATTTTTAAATTGAATATTTATATTTAGTGAAAAGATTGGTGTTGGCAAAAGTTGATTGGATGAGTTTAAGCGTGGCAATGCCACAAGGGATAAACGCCACACTTGTGCTATTAATATAACTTCCATATATGGAACGTACTCAAAACCAGACGGTGAATATTCTTACTATTGTTAATATTAGTATCATCTTCATTTCTTTATTCATTTCTTTTATTCATTTCTTTATTGATTCCTGGATTGCGTCATTTTTTGTAGACCAATTAAAATTTTGAATATACATGGGGCATGCTAGGACCCTGCAAACTTCATAGATAGGCCAGTGACAAAAATTCCTGTTTGACCCAGACCAAAATTAAGTTTAATATATAACATTTAATCATTGATTACTTTTACTTTTTATTAATTTAATATTAATGTCCACTCTTGTGATAAATATTTTTTTTAGATTCTCAACAGATAGATTTAGATATACTAGATGAATTTTAAATCTTGACATTTTATTATGTGTTATTTGCTATTTATTGGCTACTACAGACGTAATATTAAATAGCTTGAGAAATAAAATTATAGATAATTATTTATTTATATTTAATAGTGATATTATATAAAAGTAATAACTTCTCACAATCCTTTGGAATTTTTTATTTATTTTAGAATTTAGATATTAAATATGCACACTATAATAGACATCATAAACATACATATTAATATTGTGTATTATGCTATTTCTTTTCAAAACAATGTTTTCATTTTTTTTATAGCATTAACAAGTTGAAGTGGTGTATTTCTCAATAAATTTGTTAATAATGTTATAAAATTAAATTTAATAATATTATTATATGTATCTGAATAATTTATAAAAATTAAATATAAAAAAAAATTATTGAATTATTCATTTTATTTGAATTATTCATTTTATTTGAATTACTCATTTTATTCATTTTACCATTTTATTTGAATAAACTCTCAATGTAACTCATTCATAATGATAACAAATAAACAAATAAACCTTATTCAAATAGAAACTCTACTCAAAGTAGTATATAGTTGTATACAGTATATTGATTTTTGTTTAGTTTCCAGATTTGGTGACTTTGTACTGCATGCATTATGTTTTTACAGTTTACAACTTTTAAGACTTTTTAGGGCATCATGCTGAGTTTATTTACATAATGCCAAATTGCTGTAATTAGGTGAATTCGGATACACAAATAAAAAATTTCTTTTAATGGAAATAAATAAAATTTTAGACACTTTGGATGAAAATAAGGATCATGCTGATGCTTCTATTGACAAAAATAATGATGATGAATATTCAAAAAAAAAGAAAAGGAGAAAATGGTGAATGCCCAACCTACAATAGATATAACACTAATTGGGCATGGTATCAATCATGTGACCCAAGCTATTAACTGAGGATGGACTAGTGGCAATGAAACATTAGATGAATTGATTAAAAGTACTCAACTTAAAGCAACTAAGTATCATTATAGCAATCATCTTCAATGGATTCCCCACTTTGCCGATCAAATCAAACCAGCTTACTGAGCGAGTCACGTGACTACCAATATATCTATGTTTTGTATAACGACTGCGCCACACATTATGCAGTGTTACACTAAACATTATTCCTATTCCTATTCCTATATTTATATTTATTTATTTATTCAGCTGATGCAAATATTTATTGCGAATTATTAATCATAATTTTGTAATGTTCAGTTGACCCAAATATTTATTTAGCATTAATAAGCATATTTTATTGGACAAAACAGAGTAAAAGTCATGTTATTTGTAATACCCTAAGAGATATAAAAAGACTCAGTTTTAGACAACATAGTAATAGTGATAAACTGGATTTGAATTTGATCTCCAGTTTAGAGAGGTAACGACTATATACTGGTGAAGTTTCAGGAGCAATGAGTTCTGTATGACATTTCGTGTAACAACAAACTTCCATTATGCTGTTTTAGACCAAGTTGGAATGATCATGTTTATATAACAATCTTTTAATTAATTGATCTAATAATAAACACCTTTCTAACATTCTAATAATACTGTAATAAAAATATTATCACTAATAAAACACACAACATTTACTCAAGATAAATCTTGACCTTTGACCTAACTAACAAACTGATAAAAAGAACCTTGCTGAACTCAGCAAGAAACCACAATCTTAACTATTGAGATACATCTCAAGGGGATGCCTTTGGGATATAAATAGCTGCATATTCTAGGGATCTTTTATCCAGGTGGGTAGGCTGTAAGATAAAAGTAATATTGACCATAAGTCAGCTGGTAGGCTGTGTCAAATAAAGGAACTATCTAGGCAGGTAGGCTGTAAGATAGTGGAATCAACTGTAAGTCAGCTAAATATTAGTGCTGTAATCCAAAAAAAGGGAAAAGTATGGTTGCAAAAATGGTCACAAAGGTAATTGCAACCACTTTTTATATGCTGTAGATACAATTACTACCATCATCATAATTTACGGCACTAGTCTTTAAAGCCAGCAGGTAGGCTGTGTGTTGAACATAAAAATAAAAATAACCCATTAATTAGGAAACTTGGATTGCACACTTGCAATACTCTATTAAAAATGACATGTAAAACAATAGAAAATGCCAAGAAATTAGCTAAAGTAGATGGAAAGACTTTGAGTTGTTAAGGTGTATTATGTTTATTATTATTAATTATTATTAATATTTATCACAATACTAACCACTGATGTATACATGTATGTATAGGCTTGGGCTTTCATCAATAATTGATTTGTCTTTTGAATTTGATAGAGGAATGCATGCTTGGTTTGGTCAAGATTGGGAAGATTTAAAACAAAATGTTTCAAATCATATAAATTTAAAAATAAAAAAACTTGAGGGTGAGATTTTATCTGATATCATTAAAATAGAAGTAAAAAGTGTGTTTTGTTATTGTATTGTATATTACATAACTAATTTCACTTTTTTTAGTTTTGTGCTGTGTACAGATATTGGATTGTGCATATATACTTGTTGAACTAAAAGAATGACCTGGTGATGATAAGCATTGGCAAGTTATAAAGATATATTATTTGGTGTATGTTATCATATGTCTTTTGTATATAATTATTTTGTTTGTTTTGCTTGCTTAAATCCAACTTTTTCATTATTAGAATTGACATGCTTTTAGAAAATCCTCATACTTTTGTTGATAAAGAGGGAGGAAATAAGCAATTAACGGAACTGGAGTATATCATGAAGATGACAAATCCCATTTTAGATTTGAAATGGTGAGTATTTTTGTTAACTTTGAAGTAGTTCTCAATTGTGAGTCTGATTTGTTGTTTATGAATGATTGTAGGAGTGAAACAGTTTCCAAAGCTACCACAAGTCATAAAATTGATTTAAGAATATTAACTGTTGATGGCATAGAGTTCGGACCTGGACACCCACTTTACCACAGGACACTTTACCAACACCCACTTTACTGACAACACACTTTGCCAACAGGACACTTTACCAACAGGACACTTTACCAACAGGGCACTTTACCAACAGGGCACTTTACCAACAGGACACTTTACCAACAGGACAATTTACTGACAAGACACTTTACCAACAGGACACTTTACCAGCAAGTATTGTGTCAACAATTTGCCAAGGACTGTGTGAAGACCTGGATAACTAGCTAAAAATTGGTTTGTTGTGCAGTGAAAAACTCAGCCATAAGTCATAACTAATAACATCACTTATTATCCTTACTTTGCATCAAAAACAAGTTCATAAAAATACAATACAGATACATGTGTAATATATTTTTTTTGTCTGATGAAATTGATAAAAATTGCATATTCATGTTATTTTTTTATTAAATTTATTTATCAATCATTTACAAAAAACTTTTATTGTGACACATTATTATTATTTTTATATATACACAAAAAAAAATTTTTTTAATATTAAAAAAATAACAAAAAAAAATTTTAAAATGAAATATTATTGGCAATGCTCTGAAGAAACTTTATAGTTGATTTAATATTATGGTCATTTAATACTGTTTGAATCCATATTTCATGATTACGATCTTGTGGTTTCTGTGGGGGTCATGGTGTTCCTTGCAAGACCATTTCTACCTCAAGTTCGACTTTACTTTGAATGTTGGTAAAGTGTCCTGTTGGTAAAGTGCCCTATAAAAAATAACATATGGAAACAGTACATGAACTGTATTGTTTTACAAAATAGGTATGGAATGGGTATGGAAAAAATGCACAGAATCTTCCTGTTAAATGTGCCAAAATGTACAGAATTTGTGCAGGATAGATATGGAGTAGATGCGGAGCAGGTGCGGAATGCATATGAAACATGCACAGAATACACATGGTTTTTATGGAAAACATATGGAATTTGTTTTTCTTGTACATTTCCCATAAGAATTACATGATGTGCTAACTAATTCCATATGTTTTCTGTAAAAACCATGTGTATTCCATGCATGTTTGTATGCATTCTGCACCTACTCTGCACCTACCCCATATCTATTAAGGTTTCTGGTCCAAATTGTTTTCTCAAAGCCCAAACTAGTTTGGGCAATTTGGGCTTCTCAACATTTTCTATAAGCATGAACATTAAAAAACTATATGAATCAACTTGTTTTAACTTAAACAACTTTAAAATAATTTCGCCCAATTTTGGCTAATAACAAAAAGTAGTTTGGGCTTATAAAAAAATAATTTTTGCCCAAAGTATTTGGGCAATTTCGGCTACTAATAGAAGCAGTTTCGACCAGAAACCTTAATATCTATCCTGCACAAATTCCATACATTTCAGCACATTTAACAGGAAGATTTTGTGCATTTTTCTGTACTAGTGTTGGTTTCCAAAATTAGAGAGTTTCGCAACTGTGCGAAAGTCAAAAGGTTTTGCCATAAGTCAAAACTAGTTTTGATTTTTGACTATTGACTTTTGATTTAGTTTTTACATATAACTTTTAATTTTAATTTTGACTTTCGCCTCTTCAAAATAGTTTTGGCAACCAACACTATTCCATACCCATTATGTACCTATTCCATAAAACAATACAGTTCATGTACTGTTTTCCCATACAAATTCCATACAGTTTTCCATACATTTTCCATTAAAGACTAATGCCGTAATCCAAAAAAGGAAAAAGTATGGTTGCAATAGTGGTCGCAAAGGTAATTGCAACCACTTTTTATATGCCATAAATACAATTACTACCATCATCATAATTTACGGCACTAGTCTTTATTTTCCATACCTAAATTTTTTATAGGGCAAGAGACAAAAATAAATATAGGCAACTTATATATTACCTACTAAGGAATACATAGTCCTGGATGTGTCATTGATGTAAGGTTGTGGGTGAAACCTCCTTAGTAATTGCTGAAACCATGGCAAAACTATATTAAATCTTATCAAAAATCCTGTTGAAACTATGCCGAAAGGCGAAACCTCAAAATGCGAAACTCTGCTGAAACTCTAATAAACAATTAATGTGTAACCTGCCGAAACCCTGCTGATTGATTTCTGGATGAGTTTTGGCAAGCAACCTTACATTGATGGCAACATGTGTGCATTGAGCAAAAAGTTTTAGAATTTTTTTTTTTAATGTTTAGGTAATAAATAATGTTATATTTATGTTATAGTTATTATATGTATTCTTATATTGTTTAAAGACCCAGTTTCAATGGACTTCATGTAATTTTTGTAGGAGATTGGCCCAATTGCCACCAGTATCAGTTTTGCAAGTTTACAAATCATTTGTATGGAAATTGTGCTGTATTTCTCAAAGGCAAGATGATGATAATTTTGCAAGATATATGTTATGGCAATATCATGGAAGTTGTTGGTAAATTTGATAATAAGCATATTCATATGAAATTAACTGATAAGAAAAATTTATTTAAAAATAAAACAAACTTAACTTCTATTGTTAAATTACAACAGGGAGTTCATATCATGTATTCAATAATAAATTAATCAACAAAGGAATCTGCAATAGAAAAATAGGTGATGTCATCAACCTAAATATTAGTCAGGATACTGTTGGGGCTGCTGTTTCATTCATTATGGCGTAGTTGACATTATTGTGATTAAATTTCAAGCCATTATAAAAAAATAGTTAATCTATAATACACTTATGTGTTAACCCTCACTACAATTGTGTAGAAGGTGCATAGAATGTTATCCTGATGAGATGGATGGATGAAATTTTATCAATGTTATTCTTACAACTAGAATATTTTAATTAATAAAAAAACCTTTTTTTTAACCTGATACTTTACAATAATTTGATTTGAATGACTTGCAGTTCAGTCACTTGTTGTTTGATAAAATTTAAAGCTTCAAAGTTTTTAATGAAACTTTATTTTTAAAAAGAAAAAATTTTTATTGAAATAATTATATGTAATTACTATAACACCCAAAACTCACATCAGTTTTTAAAACAGTCATAGGCTAAATACAGTGGTTTAAATGAAAACAATTTAACAAATAAATAATCTTGTATGGTATAACTAAATAAATCTCCAGTTAACAGTTTATTTAACTGGTTAACTGAAGATTTTTACAATTAAAAATTTTTTAGGTGTGTTGGTTCCAATTTTTTATAATTGGCCTGAACTATGTGGAGCTTAAAATAGAGACAAAATATATCATGTAATAATACCTGATCACATTGTTAAAAAAATATAATAATGTAAAATTACTTCCTTGTAATGGTAATAAAAAGGATAAAAACTAATGTGAAAATTCCAATAATTTAAATATTTATATCCATTAGGTGGGAAACTGTAAATATGATAATTTATGTTAACATTAATGTTGATATTGAATTTTAAATTAATAATCAAATAGTTGATGATAATTTACCATTATTGTTACCAATAATTGTAACTTTGTTGGAATTTACTGGTTGAGGAAGATTTGTAAAATTCAATAATCTACTTGTATAAATGGCATTTGGGTGAACAGTTGCCATAATTGTTGAAGGATTAAAGGGTTTTTTATTTGCTTCCTCAAATATATTTTTTATTTCTTCTAATTCATCAAGCTGTTCTTCAGAATAACTAGAAATATTAGGTTCAATTGCATCTCTCCAAAAAGTAATAATTTTTAAAGCTTCATCTGCTGTTGGTCTCTTTTCAGGATCAGAATCTGTGCATTTGTATGCTAGTTTAATATAACATTCTGGAGTATTATCTGAAAAACTAGGCCTTAAGCCACCACAGATCTTGAAAGCAAGATCTAGATCATGTGGTTGATCTTTAAATGGCTGTTGATGTGTTGATGTTTCTGACATTAAAATCCCAAAGCTATAGATATCAGATTTTTGTGTATAAGGTTTCTTATTTAATACCTCTGGTGCAACATATGGCAGTACTCCAAATATATTATTTTTACTTTTACTTGATGTTTCTTCATCAGCTGGGCCTGATAACCCTAAATCTGTAATCATTGCCTCAGATAAATATGGAAAATATAAAATATTACCACTGTGAAGATCACCATGTATAAGTTTTTCTTGATGAAGTGTGTTTAAACCTGAGATAATATTATAAAGTTTTTCAATCTTATCACTCCATCTTGCATAATTTGGTTTTAAAAATTTTTTAAAATCTCCATCAGCTGCATATCTCATTATTAAAACATATTCTTTTGTATTTGGATCTTGTGAAATGCCATAAATATTAACAATGCCATTATGATATGGTCCTATAAATTTAATGTGATTTTGAAGCTTTATGAAAATTAATAAAAATTTAATGTATTAATTAAAAATCATTAATAATTGTCAATTAATTATATCAAATTATTTACCTCCTTTAAAAACTCTTCAGAAATGTTTTGTGAGTTTTTAACCTTTTTTAATGCTACATCACCATTTACACAATAGTATCTTTCATTTTCATGAACAAATCTAGGACCATTTGACCAGTAACACTTATACACAGTTGCAAAACCACCTTCACCTATTCTTTCTTCAATTGTGAGTTGGTCATAAAGAATCCATTCAAGGTAATGATAACTATCAAATCCTTTGGCTTCAAGCTGTGTATTTCTGATTATTTCATCTAATTTTTGATTCCCACTGCTTGTCCAACTTTGAGCTAACAATTTAGGATCACATGATTGACACCACTGGTAATTAGTGTTATATCTTGCACAAACAGAACAGGTCCCATATTCTTCTTTTCTTTCTTTAAACTCCTTAGTATTATCTTATTATTTCAAAAATTAAATTTTTCATTATAAAAAATTCAAAGTAAAATAGAATTATTTTTCAGCATAATAAAAATAGACATTCATTTAAAACAAAAAATAAATTTATTTAATTAGACAAGGTTTTGGTAAAAATTATTTTGTGTTGATAAAAGTTACCAGCTGGTTATTATGAAAAAATAAAAAGTATTTAATTAGATGATGTTATAAAAGCTTATTTTGCATGCATTGTAAAAATTACTTACATGCTGGTTATATTATAAAGAAAATAAATTTATTAATTAGTTGATGTTTTAATAAAATTTATTGTGTTGTAAAAGTTAATTTTATAATATGATACTTACTCCCTGATTATTGTAAAGAAGATTTATTAATTAGATGATGTTTTAATAAAGCTTATTTGTGTTGAAAAAGTTAATTTATAATATAATACCATCTATTAAATAAAAAATAAATTTATTTAATTAGATAAAGTTTACTTTGTGTTGTAAAAGTTAATTTTATAATATGATACTTACTCACTATTATTATAAAAAATAAATTTATTAATTAGATAATATTTAATTAAGTTTGCTTTGTGCTGTAAAGTTAATTTATAATATAATACTTACGCCCTGGTTATTATAAAGAAATAAAAAATAAAATTATTTAATTAGATGATGTTTATTTTGTGTTGTAAAAGTTAATTTATAATATAATACTTACTCTCTAAGAATTAAAAATAAATTTATTTAATTAGATAAAGTTTATTTTGTGTTGTAAAAGTTAATTTATAATATAATACTTACTCCCTAAGAATTAAATATAAATTTATTTAATTAGATAAAGTTTAATATGTTGTAAAAGTTAATTTATAATATAATACTTACTCACTGGTTATTTTAAAGAAATAAAAAATAAAAATATTTAATTAGATGATGTTTTGATAAAGTTCATTTTGTGTTGTAAAAGTTAATTTGTAATACAATACTTACACCCTATGAAATAAGAAATAAATTTATTTAAATTAGATAAAGTTTATTTTGTTTTGTAAAAGTTAATTTATAATATAATACTTACACTCTATGAAATAAAAAATGAATTTATTTAAAGTTTATTTTGTGTTGTAAAAGTTAATTTATAATATAGTACTTACCCTCTATGAAATAAAAAATAAATTTATTTAATTAGATAAAGTTTAATATGTTGTAAAAGTTAATTTATAATATAATACTTACTAACTGGAGAAATAAAAAATAAAATTATTTAATTAGATTATGTTTATTTTGTGTTGTAAAAATTAATTTATAATTTAATACTTACCCACTGATTATTATAAAGAAATAAAAAAGAAGTATATTTAATTAGATAAAGTTTGTGTTGTAAAAGTTAATTATAATTACTTACCATCTATGAAATAAAAAATAAAATTATTTAATTAGATGATGTTTTATTTTGTGTTGTAAAAGCTAAATTATAATATAATATTTACCAACTGTTTATTATAAAGAAATAAAGAATAAAATTTATTTAATTATATAAAGTTTATTTTGTGTTGTAAAAGTTAATCTATAATATTATACTTACCATCTATGAAATAAAAAAAATTTTATTTAATTAGATGATGTTTATTTTGTATTGTAAAATTAATTTATAATATAATACTTACCAACTGGTTATTATAAAGAAATAAAGAATAAATTTATTTAATTAGATAAAGTTTATTTTGTGTTGTTAAAGTTAATTTGTAATATAATACTTACTATCTATGAAGTAAAAAAACAAATTTTATTTAATTAGATAAAGTTTATTTTGTGTTGTAAAAATTAATTTATAACATAATACTTACCATCTATGAAATAAAAAATAAAATTTTTAATTAGATGATGTTTTATTTTGTGTTGTAAAAGTTAATTTATAATATAATAATCACCAACTGGTTATTATAAAAAATAGAAAATAAATTTATTTAATTAGATAAAGTTTATTTTGTGTTATAGAAGTTAATTTTATAATATAGTACTTACTGTCTATGAAATAAAAATAAAAATATTTAATTAGATGATGTTTTGATAAAGCTTATTTTGTGTTATAAAAGTTAATTTATAATATAGTACTTACAATCTATGAAATAAAAAATAAAATTATTTAATTAGATAAAGCTTATTTTGTTAAAGTTAAATTATAATATAATACTTGCCAACTGGTTATTATAAAGAAATAAAAAATAAAATTATTTAATTAGATAAAGTTTATTTTGTGTTGTAAAAGTTAATTTATAATATAGTACTTACTATCTGTGAAATAAAAAATAAAATTATTTAATTAGATAAAGTTTATTTTGTGTTATAAAAGTTAATTTATAATATAAAGATTACCCTCTATGAAATAAAAAATAAAATTATTTAATTAGATAAAGTTAATTTTGTGTTGTAAAAGTTAATTTATAATATATACTTACTCCCTAGGGATAAAAAATAAATTTATTTGATTATATAAAGTTTATTTTGTGTTGTAAAAGTTAAATTTATAATATATTACTTACGCTCTAGAAATAAAAAAATAAATTCATTTAATTAGATGATATTTTAATAAAGCTTATTTGTGTTGTAAAGTTAATTTATAATATATTACTTACCCTCTATGAAATAAA